ATGCAGCGTTTTCCTTTTGCATGTGTTTTCAGTTAATGCAGCGTTTTCCTTTTGCATGTGTTTTCCGGTTAATGCAGCGTTTTCCTTTTGCATGTGTTTTCCGGTTAATGCAGCGTTTTCCTTTTGCATGTGTTTTCAGGTTAATGCAGCGTTTTCCTTTTGCATGTGTTTTTTGGTTTATGCAGCGTTTTCCTTTTGCATGTGTTTTGTTTAATGCCGCGTTTCTGTCTTGCATGTGTTTTTTTGATTAATGCAGCGTTTTCCTTTTGCATGTGTTTTGTTCAATACCGCGTTTGTGTCTTGCATGTGTTGTGTCTTTTGCATGTGTTGTGACCGTGTCGGCCACCGTAGAGTTCTCTAAGGTATGTTTCATGTTATATCTAGCAACATTTGTATAATGAAGCACAAGAAAACCCAAGGTCTCAGTGTAATCCAGATTCATACCCTCATTAGCAGAATAATCTTTTTCAAATCCATTTCATCTTCACTCTTCAACATGTTTTGTGCCCCAAGAACTAACACATTCCAAATTAGGACAATATAAAAGAGAACAACTCTGCTGGACTGCAATACTTTTAGCTTGGGTGAGATATTTTCCAATATTTTAATAATTACGCTACTGACATTGAGCTTCAAGCTTAAAAAAATCCAAGAGCAAAAGAACTGTAGCATGTTCTGCTCCTCCACCAAATCAGCAAATTAAAATAGCGTTTGTCATGTAAAATGATGAAATAAAAATAAAATCTCAATACTGAACTGAGACACACACAAACATTAATATAAACATTCAATTAACACAAATAATTATATTATAATTTACCTATGTCGTACACACTTACCACACTTTGTGCCTGCACTGAAACCATAAAAAAAATAAGTGTAGACTTTTATGTAACTTTTTTTTCTAGTCGTTGATTGCTTGCTTTTCTTCTGTAAAATATTATGATTTTTGTGAATAAAGGAATATTTTCTAAAGAAAGTCAGGGCATGTTTCACCAGTATTCATGGTATCACTGCTGGCAATCGCAGAATAAAAGCAGTACTGTCTTTTATGAGTTAAAAATATCAAAAAATTATAGCAACTTAATCTAAACTAATCAATAAGAAAATGTGTGATGTCAAAAATGCTTTTTTAGGTGTTGTAGTCTCAAATGTATTAAAGTTACATACACACTGTGTGACGTCCAAAACATACTTATAAGACACAAACATCCTGTAACTCTGGGAGGAGAGGTCTTAAAAAGGCATTTCTTATAAAGGGATGTACGGTATGACTGAAACGTGTTTAACGAGTGTGAGATTCTAAACATTTTCATCAAGTCAAGCAAATGTCAGGGACATTGCCACTGTGAAGTGGTTGCGCTCTACCAACAGCTTTATCTTTGTGATGAAATGGCAACTGTAACAGCACACAGCCTTCACTGAACTGATTTGAATGATCTGATACGTGATAAGAAACAATGTTTTAAAGGGAAAAGGGGGCTGAACTGATCTCCTTGTCACATTCTAACAATAACAAATGCAGACCTGGAATGTTCTATAATCTATAAAATGGCAGTTTGTACACTAACACAAGACATCAGGAGATAAAGAATGAAGACAGGTCTCAGTTAAAGAGAAAGCCAAGAGAGGTATGTCTTGGATTAACCCTGCAAAGTCAAAAATGCTTTAAATCAAGGCATAAAATGTCACATTTTTTATCTATGTCCAACAATGGAATAGTACTCAAGACTTGAGGCATGGGTTGGATTTGCTCAGAAAAATGGAGGCGACTACAGAGAACTCTGCAACAATGGCTAGTGGTCATCTATGAGTCTATTTGCATGGCTCATTATGAAGAGCCCCCATCCCCTGACTTCCAACCCCATGTTATATTGAGGGGACCAAACCTAAATGTACCGTTGTATTCCAGGGAAATAAAATGACACTCTTACTGAACACGTTAACGTTTGCCTCACATTTTTATCTGCCCCAGGTCTAAGCAATCAATATTTTCTCACAACCAGCTCAAGACTTACTCAGGCAATATAATGGTTTGCCCCAGCTCCACTAATCTTTATAAAATGGAGGAGTACCTATCAAATAATCACCAATCCCACATATTTACAGCTTAGCAGATCTGCAGCTCTCTACATACTTTATTCTGTCATTGAGGATGAGGGGTTAGAGGACAGGATTCGGAGGGCCCTTGGGCTGTTCATTCACAGTGTGGCAAAAGCTCTTCTGCCCCCTTGGAAATTGTTGGTGCCGCACTATTGCAGCACCTGACCACGCGTCTCTGGTAATTTGAGGGCCAGAAAACTGCCCACTGCCAGTGCCCCCGAGGCAAAGAGGATGGGTACAGCCTTGGTTATGCCAACAAATGAGGTGAAGATGCTTATGCCCAACACAGCTGCTAATTTACAGAGGGCATTGAGGAAGCCAAAAGCTGTGGTTCTGAGAAAAGAGGGAACAAATAAAGAGTAGAGTCAGTTCCTTGTCTATTTGATCATGCTTTAAGGAGGAATAAAACCAGTCAGTACTGTAGGAATCCCCTGTATAACCACAAGATAGAGCTATACCTCCTATAACTACAATTCTCAATACAGAGTGGCAAAACACAATGCACATTCCTACTTTGGTAGGATTAATAAATTATAAACCACACAAATTGTCATATTCTATTTTATAATAGGTTCCATTTTAATTACTAAATCAAATTAGGATTTACATACTCTGCTACTTAAAGTGGGACTAAAAGAAGCCCTGATAAAGCCCATAAGTGGCAACAAGACAGCTAAATAATTAAGATAAGCTCCACCAATGATTTCAACCCACAATGTCATCCATCTTTGTAAGCCAGCCAATCACTGTGGGGCAATTCATCTGACATCATTTAATACGTCATTCAGCAGCACTGACCCCTGTTTTCACTATGTCAAGGAGAGTGCATGCCTAAATTACCTTTTGTCAGAGGGGTAGAGCTCTACAGTCAGCACATCCAGGGCATTCCAAGACGCGATGCTGATTCCCCCGAACAGGCAGAGCAGAGCAATCATTGCTGACTCACTGTTGCCAAAAGACAGGAAGAAACAGCTGATGCAAGAGATCACACTGGAGCCCGCTGCAGATAGAGAAAGGGTGAAAAAGAGAGAAAAAGAGTGACCTATGAAGAAAGGAAGGAGGTCCTGCTAAATGTAACTGACAGTTACTTGACATTAGCCAGTACTTTGGCTAAAGTGACAGAAAGTGTAATAAGCATGGTCCCAAATGTTCTCACTTCAAATCATTTGGCTGTTCTGCAGAAAAACAAAATGTGTTTCCTAAAACAAAATGACTGGTCATATCAACTGCAAAAGGGTCACTCTTCATAGGAGCTTATGTCAAGGAATTCTGAGAATACATAAAATACTTGGGCCTCTCAATAGAAGACAAACCTTTAGCGTACATATCAAAATATTACATGTTAAAGTAATATTAAATTGATGCTGTTCAACAGGAATCAGGCCCGTCTTCCCGGATCCTTCAAACAGAATTTTGGAGTCAGCCTCCACTCTGAATCCTCTACAGTAGACTTCATTTCCCACTCTGTACTCATAGTGATAACTGCACTTTTTATGCGAGCTGGCTTTGTTCCTGTGTAAGAGGAGAGCGTCACTGGCTGATGTAGCCCTGCATCCATATTACCTAGCATCCGCAACCGTCCAATCTTGTCCATGAGCAGTGCGGAGACGATGTTTCCCGGCAACACAGCCAAGGTGCCCAGGAAACTGACAAAGTAGACCATGTAGGCATTGTTCTCATCACTGATGTCACTGAGCAGGCAGCCCTCTTTGTTGTGCAGGAAAGTGCTGTTGGTGAGCTTGCAGTTGATCAGTCGATACTTGAAGAGATCTGGAGAGAAAAGCAATGGGGTGGATATTGTAGATATTGTACCCATTCCACTACACTGGGTGAATTCACTGGATTTATTCAATAAAATCCTGTCAATAATTCAGATGTTTAATCCATTTCATGTGAAATGCCTGCAGGAATTGATAAGCTTCATGAACATCAGTTCAAAGGAAACTAGCAAAGAAGATTGGTGAGAGAGAATAAAACAGGACAAGTGTGGAGATGCTCACCTCTTGTGACCAAAGTATTATTTCTACCAAGGCAACATGATGCATGAAATTTTGTGACAGCAATGTTGTGCTGTTTTTATAACAATGCCTTCCTATTGATGAAATGTTTATGGCATTAACGAAAACTTCAAAATTAAATGATTTGTTTAAAGTGAATCATTTAGGCTATTGGCACTGAATCCAGCTTAAAAAAACCTACATGTGAATGAATACTTGATTGCATGATGACATTTTATTACTTATCTTTATGATTGTGCAAATATCTTGGCTTCTGGTTATGTTGAGGTAAAATTGGATACAGTAAATTTGGTGCATTAACATTAAATCTAATAAAAACATTTGTTTCATATTGTATATGGTATTGGGAGGGAGGTGCAAATGGAAACATGGCAGCAAGCAAGCAAAAGACTCATGTCTCACACTGCCAGAACCACCACTGTCAGTCACAATATTTTTCCTGGCTCTCTCTTCTCCTGGCTCTTCCTCTATTACCACTGCCAGACTCACCCCTGTGCCATCATGGTCTTGATATCTCTGCAGAATTTCTCTCTGACTGTTCATACACACCGAGTTTCTGACTGTTAAGCCTGTACGGGCTGGTGGTGACACATTATTGTCTACAGATGACTCCAAATGCATAAGTTCTGCAGGGTCAACGTTGGATGAAATGGGATGAAAAAGTCCCAAAACAGACCTGGCGAGGAGAGCCACAGATGCACTGAGCCAAGGGAGTGCAACTACACCTACCATACAGATTGACTGGAATCCTGCCTTCCACCGATTGGACTAGTGAAAAGAAGAAATTATTTTCTACATACCTGATGAAGGTCAAAGACCAAAAGGTTGTGTATTAAATTAATTCTTTAGCCCGACGAGACAAAGTGTGGGAGTTTTTAAAGCTTTAACTAATAAATTGTACAGGTAATGAACTTGAATGCACTATAAATAGTAGAGAGAAAATAAACCCAGAATAAAAGGAAGATGAAATTACAGCGCACCTAAACACAGCTTACAATAAATTTTAATTATTAAAGCAGATTTATTTCCCTGACATAAAATTTAAGTAATGCAAGTTCTGGAAAAACACAATTTAAAGGCAACATACATTAGCTTGTCAAACTTCATGGGTTGTTATTTAAGCTGAAGTCGGTCGGCCTGTCGTCTTTTTTCCTCGACTTCCACTGTTTGTTTGGTTACACATGGTTTCTTTTTGTGCACCCCACAAAACCTCTATAGCACAACTCCACTCATACGCTAGTTCCCTTCCTTTATAACTGCCATCATACAGTATCGCTTTGTGTGCTTCCTACCTGTGTTGTAGAAGAGGGTGGCGATGAAAGTGCAGTTCTTGAAGAAGGTATTGCTGGAAGTGATGTCCTCAAAGTAGCACTCCTCAAACAGAGAGTCCTCGAACACCATAGATTTCATTTTCAGGTTCATAAACCTGCAAGCAATTACAAACAGGGATGAGGGAAATAGAACACAAAAGGCAAAAAGACAATGAACAGGAGGAAAAAGAAACATAGGTGCAAACAGATAGAAAGCATACTCTTTATACACAAAGGCTGAAACTAGGCTGCCAGATACTCCTTTAGCATACTGTTGTTTGAAATTTAACAACTCAAATCACATGCAGAATCCAGGTTGATAAGGCAAGGTCAAAGAAAATATCAATGCCAGGCTTGTTACACATGAGTAAGGCTGCAGGGCTTTCATCCAGTTAAAGTGATGTTCAGAATAAAACATTTTGAAGTCACATTCATGTTTTCATCTGATTTGTTGTCCACCACAAACTGCTTACACTTCATGAATAAAGTATTGGAGATATGTTAAATATAAAAACTGTCAAAATATCCTCATGCTAAAAGGCATCTGATGGACACGCAGCCTAAATCAAAATGAGTTTACCCTCATTGGACAGACCAACACCAACAAGGAGATGCAGTTAACTCACTTATCGTTGAAGTACTTGCCCTGGCGATGGACCTGGTTTTCCAGGGTGAAGTTAAAGGTCACATGGTCTACTCTCTCCTTGACAAAAACCTTAGTACGTGAGGCGTACTCCTGCTTCTGCAGGTACTTGATCATGTCGGGGAACCACACTGTCAGACCGTAGTAGCTGGAGGAAGACGAGGAGAAAGAGAGAGAAGTTAGGTGTGCTTCTGTCACAAAAATACAACTCTAACAAGCCTACTGAGAAAAACAGATGGCTTTATTAAAGTAGCATGTGAGCAGTGTTACTGTATGCATGAACAGTCCATGGGACACAGACACATCTGCAACAACTTTGCTTTTGCTACTGCTTCTTGCTGCTAGTTGTATATACTCTACGTTGGCACCTTTGGGATTCAAGATCTTTGTGCACTCTTGTTACTGTGCATATGTCAGGTGAATAGCAAAGTTCTGCTGACTGAAATTGCAGTCCAGTAGTAAATGTAATTGAATGCATATGTTTCCAATCATTTCAAAAAGACTGAAACATAAAGATAGAAGTTATTAGATTGCATTCAGCTGTACCCAATAAAGTGCTCAGTGCATGACCCTGAAACTGCATCATTATTCAACCCGATCTTACCTGAAGGACATCGAGAACCACACAGCCATCATCATGTAGGTGGTGCGGCGGTACTCAGGGGAGAACACAGCCTGGAAATTTTTCCACACCTGAAAGAACACACACAGACATGGAGAGGAAAGACAGGGAGGAAAAAAAAAGTACACAGTACATTAGGATAAAAAAAACAGACCAGACATCTCTGAAAACATGTTTCTCTTCATCAGCTGCAAGAAGTGAACACTATGCCCCAGAACTCCTTTCCAGACGTAGAGTAAGCGAACTGAGAGACAAGCCAAAGAGAGATTACACATAAATAACATCTGGGCTGAAAGTTTCGTAAAATTTCATTTGAGCTCTGACTAGAGTTTTTAACGTTCCATTGCAAGCAAAACCTCTGTTGGTCAATTGCTGTTATTAATTGTACTTAATGGTGATTATAATAAAACACTGATTCCCTACAGTAGATGATGATATTCATTTGTGATGTCTTAATGCTGTATATTTCATTTAGAGTCTTTGTTGAGAAGTTATACCCCCATTGCACACTGATGACACACCGTTTCTGAAAGGAGCAGTTCAGCATTTAGAGGAATATGCTCATTCTCCCTCCAGGCAAAGGTTAGATGAACAGATAGATGCCACTCTAATAATACTAATGCCTGGAGACCATTATATCTGTTTCTCAGTGATCTTAGTGTTAATGCTAAGTTTGTCACCTCATGTCTTTATTCAGCACACAGACACAGCAGGGTTTCTCACCTGATGGAAAAGTGTAGTGAGCTTAAGCCTCCATTTCACATACCAGGCGGCACCATCCCCCATGTCCAGCAGTTCATCCATCTGCTTCACTGTTTTGATGGTGGTCACCTGGACACAAAAGTACAGTCCCTTATATTCAATTGAATTGCTGTATTTAATAATTAATGTTATCTAAAAAGGCTTTCATGTTTATTGATACCAGCAAAATTATGTGTACAGATTATTATAAAATAAAATTTAACTACATGCTTGTGAGCAAGTAACTCATGCTTTGCTATGTATGTGATATTGAACAGTAACAGCTTCTAATTCATTTATTACACTTTCTTCACCACAGTTTCATTTGCAAATCTCTGTAAACCTCACTTGCTAGGACATTATTTAAAATGACCTCAGCAGGCAAAGATGTTTCCCTATACAGGCACACTGCACTAAGATCACTGAAAGGCTCCATCCCACTTAAAAATCTAATGCAATAAAAGGCATCTGATCTTCCTGATGTCTCCCCATTAACAATATGATATTAAACGTGGCCAGTTATGATGCATCACTCATTAAATGTAGCAAGAAGAGGTAATATAGTATTTTAATGTTGCCATATTTCAATATAATATCAATGTGAACTCTGCGGCATGAAGCATTAAGAGATTACAGAAGTTTAAAAAAAATCTTTTTGAATGTAATGTATTAATATGTAAATATATGCGGCACAGAGGTAAAACCTGTCAACAGGCAGACGTGTGTGCACTGTGTGATCACATTATCCTCTGCATACAGACAGCGGTGCTGGGATGCAAGGCTGATCACTGGTGAGTGTTACTTACAGAGAAGACCCTCTCTGGGTAACCCTTGGCCCTCATGTTGGTGTCATGGACTTGCTTCAAAATCATCCACGCCTCATCATGTTTCCCATTCTGGAAACACAAACCAAATTTACATCTTGGTCAGCGCTCATGTTGTAGTCATTGTAAGGCTGAGTGGCGTTTGATTCAGTCATTAATTAGCTACTTTGTAGAAGTGCAAGACGCTGTGATTTGAGTGACTTTGTGACCAACCTCCAGGTACCAGCGGGGGCTCTCAGGCATGGTGGTGAGTGCACAGATGGCCACCACGGAGGGGAAAGCACACACCAACACAAAGACACGCCAGCTGTGGAACTGATAGGCTGAGCCCATCTGGAAACTCCAGCCTGCATGAGGAGAGAAAGGGGGCAGCTGCAAGACTTGAGTTGCTTCTTCTATTCATATTTTAATGCTCTGGCTGGATGAATTTGACTGTAATGCAAAAACGTTGTTTCTAAATGAACAATATATACTGTATATAATGCGTGTATGTGCACTGCAGTGATTTGTCATATGTGCTTCACTGTGCCAGACCACACTGCTCTCCTTCTATGCAATGAGGCCAAGCTTTTCATTCTGCACAAGTTCAAAAGAAAAACATGCTGAAATGACTTGCTGTGACCTGGACAGTATGCATGTCAAAGGTCTGTGAAGGTGCTTGACACAATGAAAGTTCATGAATGAGAAAGAGCATGCACTCAGTTTATAATATTCAGCAGTTTTTTGTCATGTGATAGTGAAAATAGTACAAGAGTAGCATTTCTGACACACAGACTTGTCTTTGTTGCGGTCACTACAGGATGTCTGAAAACCAAGGGAAACACTGTTTTCGCCATGCTCTGCAGGGTAGGACTTTATTCCATCATCCATCCCATAGTGATGCATCAAATGGAAACAACCATAGCATCTTACAGTATCTCCACATCTTGTGATGTAAAAAGAAATTGATAAAATGATAGACTGTTTAGATAACTGACATGCTAAGTGGTATACATATTGCCTTACACAACGATTTTCTGAATTAGCTATCTGTTTGTTTTCCTCACCGTAGTGTGGGATGATGGCCCAGGCCATGGCGGACGCATAGATACCACCGATCATCCAGAACATGCAGAGCCAGCTCAGATGCTCTCCTCGCTTTTCCTGGGCCAGGAACTCAGAATAATAGGAAAAGACAATGGGGATGGAGCCACCAATACTATGGCATAAAGAGGAAGGTGTGGAGCAAAAGAATAAGGGATCCACATGGAGGAGCAGCAGTTGGTGGGTGATAAGAGCGAGAGAAGGAACAGAGGAACAATGAAAGCAAGAAAGAAGACAATGGTCATTTAAAAAAAATAATGAAAGAAGCCAGTGAAGGAAAAGAGGAGTGAAACAGCAGAGAGTAAGAAAACAATTGAGAGAAGAGTACAAAGAAACAGCAGTAAGAGTATGAAAGCCAGTATGAGACAACTGTGTAGCCTTGTAACTGATTAAGAACAAAGATTAAAGCCTTAAAAGCTGGCAATAATGGCCAAGCTGACTGCAATCAATAGCACCGTATGACCATCACAACAATTTACTATCTGATGGGAGGTGGTGCCGAGAACACCTCCAGGCTCAAAGCCCTGCAATCAGACAGGGGCACTGACTGTTAACACAGTGACTTGGAATGAACTTGGAAAAGGTTAAAGTTCATCACACTGCAACTGGAAACAATATCCATAATGAATAAACCGCTATGCACAGCCTAGGAAACA